TATATATATATATAAATATATAAATAATTGATAATTATTATAGACGGTAACGTATGACCTCTAGTATTTAAGACAGTTAAAGAAACAGAAGAGATACCAACTCTCACGAATATTAATAATAATTATTAATTATTACATGATTATTGGCGATTGCAATTATTAACGAGCGCCGTGCACCACGCGTGCCCACGTACATTATATAATGATAGGCACACACGCGCGTTCACACCTGGGAAAGACTTTGTTTCTGGGCTTTCAAGTTTTAATCGTATGCGCGGGAAAGGGTTGAAGAGTTTAATGGCGGCCGAGAGAGGTACGATGACGCGGAGAAGAGAGAAAAGGAGAAGAGGGATGAAAGTAGATGAAAAAGTAGAGCGGATAAATCAAGAGCGATCCTTTTTGCTGCCCTTTCTCTACGTCTGTACATGCAGAATCAAGCTCCTTCTTCTCTCCCAACGTGCCTTTTCGCTGGCTAAATGGCGGAATGGTGCTTCTCTCCTGTCCTGTCGCAGTACTGCTTTCCCGGGTGCGCAACGAAATAATGCAGAAAGATGTAGCGGCGGGCGAGCGAGGGAGTTACATAGGCGTGTTACATACTTGATGTCACGCTGTTAGCATTATTTGTGGGAAGATGGAAGAGAGACACGCGCGAGAGAGCTGCCGTCGAATTTCGGGCCGACGAGGCAAACGATGAGATGCGCGCAACATCGGAAGACTTCCAGAAAGAAGGAACAGTAGTGGATGATATTGTTAGGATCACAGAATAGTGGAAACGTTCTCTAGCTACATTTCATCGACGAAATCCGCCATTTAAATTCCAATAGATAACGTAAGCGGCGTTTGTCGCACGCCGTTTATAGAAATATAATTCAAACTCAAGTTATTCATTGAGCCTACTCAAAACTTTATTATTTATTCAATCGTTATTAAGATCTCGGATGATCTCGGATGATTGCAACTCGCCGTACAGATACACGGTTATGAGTACTCTTTAATGCCGAGATGCGAGCGTGTTTTCTGATGATTACTGTGTGACGATTATGACTACAAACTTCAAAAGAATACTGTGTTTTATGACAATTTAAGTAGTTTGGAAAAGTTATATATAATTCCTTTATTATATTAGAAATACTTAAACTTTACTACATTACGACAAAGTCACTGGGCAGTAATATTCTTGCTTTTAAAATAGAAGAAAAATCAGGATGTAAATGACGTTGATTTGTACTACTCTGTAATTCTGACTAATACCGAACGTTCACTTCAAAGTTCCATTCGGAGCTTCCGAAGGCGCCGGACAATGACTGTTATGACTCTAATCGGCCGCTGTATAGCTTTAAAACCGATTACGTGCAGTAAACCCTCGTTATATACATATATATATATATATATATATATACACGTATATTACGCGTATCATACGCAAATTACTATATAATTAATTTAAAATAATGCCGTATATGCATGACCCTATAGACGAGCCGATGCGATCAAAGAGAAAGAAGATATGAGTTTTTTTTTCAGCGGCAAATAACCGCGACACACGTCACACGAACACTCACGCACACGCGTACACATAAAAGCTATAACACACCCTCCACATCCCCGACGTCTAATCGTCTAAGGCTGAGTTACACCGATAGTCTGGCTTAACTAGCTCTGATTGACGTGTGAGTCTAGCGATTCATGGTTCTTCATTAGATTATAGTTCCACCTATAACACACAGACAAGCAAAGAAATTTAGTTAACCAGCGTCGGTGATAACCAACGTATAGGTGCAAACTTAAGATTCATACAGCGGGAGATCAAACGATCGGTAAAGGATCGAGTTGAGAAAAGGTAGTATATAAAATATACACATATACATAGAAAAAATGTCGCGTAATCTTCGTCCGCGATATACGAAGCATCGGTCGACAATGCGCTTCAAACGCTAATTTAACGGGAGGACGAATCGAAGGAGAAAGGAAAAAAATGAGAAATAAAAACCTAAAGTTATATATGAGAGAAAGACCGAGCGCGAAAGGAATAGGGAGAAAGATGATAAGAGCGTGCATGAGAGTGCGAAAGAGTTACCCATTAGGATTAAAATGCGTAACCGTTAATATTGCGGCCGCGATTAGATATAGGGACTAAAATGGGCTAGCGAGGAAAGACATAAACGTGAGAGTGAATATTATATTATAATCTATATATCGCAAATATGGCTGGACATCGGATGTTGCGTCCCATCGCGCTTCCAGTAATATTTCGGATATTAGGAGAGTCCCAAGGTCCACTCGACGTAAACGAGAGGTAGGCTCTTTTTGAGAACCAAGTCTCAATTGGACTACGTTATACAATTAATATAATGCAGAAAACGAATAAAACAAATAAAATGATGGTGAGGTCTAAAGATTGTATTCTGAAGTCGTTTTCCCGTATTCTAACTTGTGATCAACTCCTCCTTCTTTCAGATAATATCACTTAACTTATATTGTATAACGCAATCCAATTGATGAGTGAATGAGTGAAGATTGGATAGATTCTAATGGATTATTGGTAATTGAAGTTTAGGTTAACTTTGTCGTGACCTTATGATATTGCGCGGAAAGACGAGAGGAATTTCAATTAGCGTGAGAATAGAAATGATTATTCAAGTCACATGAGAGCTTCCCGAACGATTAAGAGTGATCGACATGTAGTGTTATTTCTTTAAATAACCGGACGAGAAGGTCCATTTCAATGTGGATGGCTATCATCACCAAGTTAATTACTAACATTCATAGGCTAATTGCAAGTTGCATCAACGGTCTCGTTCAATTAACTCTGAATTATCGGTTTAATGTCATCTTCTAGATTAAACTTCTAGCTACATAATATAGACAAGGAAAGGAAATTTCATGTTTATCTCGATTAATGATAATCGACATTAATACAAATACTTGAATTTTTATTATGCGTGCACATTCTTTTGTAACATATAAACCATAATAATGCAAATCGTTTTATAACGGTAACTGACAAAACGTCACTGGATTCTAAGAACGAACTAGATAGAAAATTATAGATTCTTCCACGTTGTCTGTAAACGTATTAAATTTTTTTATTTTTAAAACAAAAATTGCACGCATAAAAAGAAATCTCATACAGCTGTTATTATAGTACAATGGCAGTGCGTTAAAAATACATAATGTACAAGGTGCGAAAGGTCTCATCGCATTGGCAGAGGATTTACGAGAAATTCCTCCCTTCTTTCTGGTGACAAGGGCCACATCGCCCCTAATAAATTATGCGCGTAATTTATACGACTGGGACATTCGCGTTTCGTTGATATCGCAGAATAAATGGTTCCTTATTACATATTATCATTACTATAATTAAATTCACAAGAAAGAGCGTCGATCGATGAATTATAATTATATAAACGACGATTATATACGCGATTATTATATGCGTGCTGTTATTATTATTGCATTAAACAACAGGGTAAAACAAAAAAAAAGAGAGAGAGAAAAAGAGAAATAATTTTATTAAATTGGATACGTGCGTCACGTGGAACGGCAGTCATTTTGTTTCTTTTGATGAACGTGCACGCAAGGAAAGAAAAGAATTAATAATAATGCGTGTAAAACGAGTCAATTCTTAAAGAACGTTAGCAATACTTTTTCATGACCACAAAGAGACGTACAGCGACAAGATGGCGGAGATTAAAGTATATCGACAAGAAGTGACAGTATTCTTAAGTTCCTAAATTATGCGCGCGACGTAAAACTCGGTTCGTTTGAAGATACAAAAAAAAAAAAACAATATATTGAGACTGGGAAAAGAGACAAAGTGGGCAAACTGCGATCGCGTGTGTCACCAACGTTTTGTACACCGCCTATCCTCTTGTGAACAAAACAGAATGATGCTATCCCGTTATAGCCCAGAGAATGATAAAATATGAAAGGGAGCGTGATATTTTCAAACAAATGTTCAAAATAGGCATATTGCATAAGAAGATATAAAAAAGTGATCGACTTTATTCGAACAATTGCCTTTTTTAATCAAAAGTATAAATGAAATTTCCTTTGTTGAAATAATTATTATTTAATGAAAGCCATTTTTTTATAAACACGAAAGTTAGCTATATTTTAGATTTTGAAAGTAATGAACAAAATATCAAAAAAACGTAGATTCAAAATATCTTTCATTTACTTATAAGAATGGAAGATTCAAATCTTGATTGCTAGAATAAAAATATCGGCTATTACCATAAGAAAAAGAAGATTAATGTGCTGTAAAATTGTGATAATTTGTGACTGTAATATTACTTTTCTCCATTGACTGATTTGAAACAGTAAAAACTGAAGAAGAAGAGCCAATAAATCTATATTTTAAATTGTATGCAATACATTCGTCACATAATAAATGAAATGTGTTCACAAGTGGAATTTAAACAGTTTTTTTAACGGCTATTACGATGATATATTAAGTTATCAACATATGCAAATAAATTGTACATACCAAAATTATGTTAAATTTGTTAATCAAATATATTTTCTCTATTAATATATATTTTGGTTTCATATTCAATTATGATTAATAGTTATTGATTACATATTTTCCCGAACCATGTCTATTTAATTGCCGTTAAAAATAATTTACTAATTATTAAATAATTAATTTATATATTGTATATACGATTAATTATGTATATGTGTGTAAATCTTGAATTTATATCAATTGTTTTAGAAAAATTTATAAATTCTCGCAGTTACAAAGTAATATAATAGGTATTCTCGTTGTAGAACTAAGAAGATGTATACTTTCGCGTGTTGTCTCTCGTGTTCTATATTTTATTTTGCGATTTCCTTTCGGCGCTATCAAATGCTAAATATTCTAA